GTTTTAGTCAGTCGTTCGTTTATATAGATATTGCAGGGTGCGGACTTAAGACCTAGAGCCTCGGTTGTTAGAGACTGGCGGACGCGGGAAGCGCGCAGCACGTCGTTACGCACGTCGCGCCGCGCCAGCCGCACAGCGATGGGCCGCGGACAAGACGTGGCATCCTGGCGGGCGCCCCCCCTCGCATACAATGGACCAGTTCCTTTTCCTCCAAATGAACACCAAGCTTGGTCACAACTGATAGAACCAAGTGTGTTGGCTTCTCCCCACTCTCCTCTGGAATGCCACTTAATTCGACGTCATTTGCAAGCAACTCCTGATCCCTATCGTTTAAGTCGGCTTGCAGCTGATTGACGGTCGACTCGAGTTTTAGGATTTCAATTTTGGATCCTTGAGAGCCATATTGCTCTTGTGATTCCAGGATAGTTTGGACCGTGTTCTCGAGCTTATCTAAACGAGCATCGCATTTGCTGACAAGGTTTCTTATGTCCTGAAGTTCTTCTCTGAATGCCCGAAATTCTTCGCGGGTTTGCCGCATTTCTTCTCGGAAACATCGCAATTCCTCCCCGAGGTTTGAAACCTCACTCGAATTAGCAACAGTAATTGTTGCGGGTTTTACCGGCGTTGTGTCCTTGTTGCAACGTTTTTCTTTCAATTGCATTCAGGGCAAGCCCAGGATGGCATTAGTGAAGCGCCCACTGCGATGTCTACACACGCACGATGTAGCTGTTTATTGCACTTTGTACAAGTAACATTAGCGCCATCTTGCTGAGACATGTATTTATCGCACGCACTGCACTTAACTGCCATGATCAATAAGTTTTAATACGAGTAGTTGATAAAGCAAAATTATGCGTTGATTTATTAGTACACAACGGAAGCGTGAGATGGAGCTGTGTTGATCAGTACTATATGACGGTATTATGTTATTAAATTTTATTCGATGACATTTAAAAATAAAATGTTTTTAATATGTAAATGTTGTTTTTTTTACTATTTATTCACTAATCACTAAACACTCTAATGTATCCACACCATATAAGGTTCGCAGTACACAGATGTTTAACTTTTGCACAAAAATTCTAACTTAAACAACGTCCAAATAATTTTAAATTTAAATAAACTCTTCCGACTCACTAACTACGTATCTCAGGACGGGCGTCCGTGACGTTACTGCTTCTGCGATCCACTTTTCGCCCCTCTGGGATATAGAACGTAACGGGTGGCGTACCTCGTAGCCGGTTTTCTTCACACACATTCTTCGCACCCCTGCCCCATTAAAGTGGTGCCAGGAATCAGGGCCATTTTTTTTCTCTGATGCCTCATGGTGCGAAAGTATGGCGTATATTTTACGTTGCTACCACACGGTCAGTAGCCGAGTCTGTACTTTCGGCTTGTCGACTTGTCGCTCATTTAGCCGGGGGACAAGTGTAGGGTGGGCCTAGGACTTGGCGGTCGAAGCTTACGGACGCGAGTGACTTATCCCCCCCACCCCCGAACTATTATACGGGGGGGATACACGCACTGCATATCCCAGATGGCCCCAACCATTACATCAGATTTGATAGACCACAAATCCTCGCGAAAGTTCATCGATTCCTACCAAGGATCATACGTGAGGCTATTGAAATTAAAAAACATCCTAATTTCAATAGAGAAGGAGGCTGGGTACTACCACCTGCTTGGGACCCTATAATTAATAAACATATACATAATATATACGAGATACGATATATATATCGTATCTATAATATATAGATAACGAGAATAGTTTTTCAAGCGACGACAATGTTCCTCTGAGTACTTTCTCAAACTACTACCAGTCTAGAAATGGCACTCGTTGGAACAAAACACCACCACCGTCATCAAGAACTAGATCGCACAATATTTTAGTACAACAATGTGGACCTAAAGGTAACGCTAAAAACGCCCAGTCTCCACTGACTTGTTTCGAGCTATTTTTGACGAGTCACTTGCAGATTATTGTTGAATCCACAAATATTTAAATAAATATTGTTGAATCAAAATATAAACGTGACAGAGATGCTCGTCAAACAAACATGATGGTAATTCGAGCTTTTATTGGGTTATTGCTGGTGATAGGTGTAAACAGATCGGGAAGACGGAACCTGGAAGACTGTTGGGATAATTCTAGAGGCACAGGAATTGAATTAGTCTATTTGACTATGTCGTTGAATAGATTTCGATTTCTCCTTCATACTGTTCGATTTGATGACGTCACAAGCCGACCTCAAAGACAATCACTAGATAAAATTGCAGCTATAGGTGATGTTGTAGAAAAGTTCATTTCCAATTGTAAAACAATTATAATCCCAATGAGCGACTAACTATTGCCGAACAGCTTGTTGCATTTCGGGGACGCTGTAGTTTTATCATGTATATGCCCAATAAACCTTCAAAGTTTGAAATCAAAATAATAATGGTGGTAGATGTGAAATTCCCATACATAATTTTGAAATTTATGTTGGTGCACAGCCTGAAGGGCCTTTCCAACATTCTAACAAAGTCCTGGATATTACACTTCGAGTATTGGATCCCGTCTGCAATCTTGGATGTAATATCACGATGAATAACTGGTTTTCCAGTATACCGCTAGCTCAAGATTGGTTGAAACAGAAAACTACCATGGTTGTCACCCTCAAGTCTAATAAACCAGAAATACCTGCAATATTCAAAGAATCTCATCAAAGAGAAGAAAAAAGTACTGTTTTTTGATTTCAGAAAGACTGCACTCTAGTTTCATACATACCAAAAAGAAACAAATCCGTGATTTTGCTATCTATAATGCATCATAATGGCATAATTGATTCAACCACAGGAGCTAAACAGAAGCCAGAAATAGTAACTTTTTATAACAAAAACAAATGTGGGGTAGACATTATTGATAAGATGTGCAATCAATATAATGTTTCAAGAAACAGTAGACGATGGCCTCTTACTGTATTTTTTGAGTTATTAAATCTTGCAGGTATAAATAGCTTGGTAATTCATCACATGAATAGGATGGCTAACACCTAACAATGAGCAATCACTCATTGAACGGAGAATGTTTCTGCTGGATGTGGCGTTTGAATTGGTAAAACCTGCAATAAATTATAGAATTGGTGTTCCAAATATTCCACGGGAACTAAAAACTAAAGCTCAGATACTTTTAAAACCACAAAGCGGTGACAATGACCCAAATCCAAATCGGAATGTCTAGAGAACAGGAAAAAGTGGTCGATGCGCCTATTGTCCACGATCACGTGATCGTCCTGCTTCGAAATTCTGTAATATATGTAATCGATGGATTTGTCCGGACCATCAAGTACTAATTTGTACATCTTGTCATCAAAATACATAAAAACTGTTAAAACTAAATAAAAAAATGAAAATGTTTCGGAGAGTTGGCAAAATTGATAACTTTTTCCTCATTTTTTTAAATTTCATTTTTTTTGTTCATTTATATTAAAATACATTTATTTTTATAATATTTAGAATAAACAATAAATACTTTTCACTATTTGAACGCATTTTATTTCATATTGTATTACATTTACCTAAAATCGATCAATGTAAATGGTCTGAAAATTCACCCCACGCGAGTATAATATTAGAAAATTAGGGCGCGAGTACTGCAGTGTTAATCCTGGTCACAACATCATCTAAATAATTAATAAACTTAAAACTAAACCCAAGCATACCACTGCAAGACTTCGGCAAACGTCGGGTATTAAAAATAAAATAAATAAAACGCGATAAAATCCGTAAAAGTAGTTTTAATCAATGTGTAGTATTCGCGTAAATATAAGAAATCATTTTGCTCCAAGCAACTTTAAGTCAATAGCAGTTCTTAGACGTTTGAAAACAAATATTAATTTACTGATCCTTTTGGTGGGTGTTTCAAGGTGATATTTCCAGGAATGTGATGAGTCAATGTATACACCAAGGTTACACGTATTCGAGCAGGAATCATGATGGGTGGAATGTGGACAGGTGTGAGACACTATTTTAATATAAGATGGTTGAAGATTGTACGCTGTAGTTTAGTAAAAGTAATGTACATAGTCTTTTACAAGTTAATAGTTAATAAATTATGTTGTAGCCATTTCATAATTCGTTCCAGCTCATTTTCTACGGTACGTGTTAGTTGATTCCAAAGTGAGCTATGAATACTAAAGCTGTATCATCTGCAAAAGCGAACTATTTCCCGTTGACTAGTTTTAGGTTACATAAATCATTCACGTAGACCAAAAATTAGCTTGGACCAAGGATACTTCTCTAAGGAACGCCGTAGGAAATACATTGGGAGTCACTTGCCAAATCGTCAATTTTTACTTTTTTTGTTATATTTTCCAACTTAAAACAGTATAAAAGGCTTTAGTCGTTCTAAAACACCGCCAGACATTAATTTTTTTTTGTTCCAATAGCGTAATATGTAATATTAAATCATTCACCGTATTTTCTGTTGACTTTTTGCGAGTAAAGCTGTATTGATTATTGGAAATAATATTTTATCTATTTAAGTATTCACTAAATCTTTTGTTTATTAATCGCTCTAGATTTTTCGACAATGAGAAATTGGTCTATAATTACTGATACTGGCTCTGTCCGAGGCATTATAAATAGGTTTAACGAGTGCTGAAATGTGAACTGGCTTGTTTGTCATTCTTATTAAAAAAAATAGCACAACGAGCTGAGAGAACAGTTACATGCGGTAATTTTTAATAATTTGCCGTGCATCGCCTTTATTTTCAGCCCGTAAACGTCTAATAACCATTGTAAAAAAAATTCCGCTCATCATCACACTTTAGACGTCTAGCGCCTTTGACATTGCTTCCTGTCACCTATCTCGATTTTTTGCGCTTGTCGATAACGAGATAGTATCTTTTTGATATATCGCTACATAGTCATCGTGTATTCATAAAAAAGTTGAAAGTAAAGTCACTCTGAAAACTAAGGATAAAATTATAAATATGTATTTTTGTCATATCCTACAGATACGGCGAAAAACCGGAGGATAGTCCGTTCCTGTGGGCGCACATGCGCGAGTACGTGGAGCTGACGGCCGAAGTGTTCGATGGCCTGCGCCTGGACAACTGCCACTCGACCCCGCTTCACGTACGTAGGCAATGTTTCAAAATTTATGTTTCTCACAGTTTCTTTTTCTTTCGGTAATATGACAAGAAAAGCTCCACGTTTAAAACATAACATGGTTAGTGTACCAGTAAAAACAGCATCACGGCACAGTATATTAGGGATGGCTCCTATTATCTACAATAATTTGCCTTACAATATGAAATAAAGTAAAACTAAAGGGTTTAAAAAAACTTACTTTAGTTCATGAAAAATTTTGAAGCTTTTGTTTTTTTTTAATTTATTTAATTTTGCTTTGGTTTTTTGATTTACAAAATTGTTCTTTTTCTTTTGACTTTCACTAAAATTATACTGTTATGATTTGATGACATTGACCTCGTCTTTGGCAATAGTGTGATATTTCCATTATTCGGACACTTTATTCAATTTAAGTATTTGTGAGCTCGTAAGTAACATGCAATACAAAGCATTGTACACGTAAGTAACATGCAATGCAAAGCATTGTACTCGTAAGTAACATGCAATACAAAGCATTGTACTCGTAAGTAACATGCAATGCAAAGCATTGTACTCGTAAGTAATATGCAATACAAAGCATTGTACTCGTAAGTAACATGCAATGCAAAGCATTGTACTCGTAAGTAACATGCAATGCAAAGCATTGTACTCGTAAGTAACATGCAATACAAAGCATTGTACTCGTAAGTAACATGCAATACAAAGCATTGTACACGTAAGTAACATGCAATGCAAAGCATTGTACTCGTAAGTAACATGCAATACAAAGCATTGTACTCGTAAGTAACATGCAATGCAAAGCATTGTACTCGTAAGTAACATGCAATACAAAGCATTGTACTCGTAAGTAACATGCAATACAAAGCATTGTACTCGTAAGTAACATGCAATACAAAGCATTGTACTCGTAAGTAACATGCAATGCAAAGCATTGTACTCGTAAGTAACATGCAATGCAAAGCATTGTACTCGTAAGTAACATGCAATGCAAAGCATTGTACTCGTAAGTAACATGCAATACAAAGCATTGTACTCGTAAGTAACATGCAATACAAAGCATTGTACTCGTAAGTAACATGCAATGCAAAGCATTGTACTCGTAAGTAACATGCAATACAAAGCATTGTACTCGTAAGTAACATGCAATACAAAGCATTGTACTCGTAAGTAACATGCAATCCAAAGCATTGTACTCGTAAGTAACACGCAATACAAAGCATTGTACTCGTAAGTACCATGCAATACAAAGCATTGTACTCGTAATTAACATGCAATACAAAGCATTGTACTCGTAGATAACATGCAATACAAAGCATTGTACTCGTAAGTACCATGCAATACAAAGCATTGTACTCGTAAGTAACATGCAATACAAAGCATTGTACTCGTAAGTACCATGCAATACAAAGCAATGTGTCTCATGTACTCGTAAGTAACATGCAATACAAAGCATTGTACTCGTAAGTTACATGCAATACAAAGCATTGTACTCGTAAGTAACATGCAATACAAAGCATTGTACTCGTAAGTAACATGCAATGCAAAGCATTGTACTCGTAAGTAACATGCAATACAAAGCATTGTACTCATAAGTAACATGCAATACAAAGCATTGTACTCGTAAGTAACATGCAATACAAAGCCTTGTACTCGTAAGTACCATGCAATACAAGGCATTGTACTCGTAAGTACCATGCAATACAAAGCATTGTACTCGTAAGTAACATGCAACACAAAGCATTGTACTCGTAAGTAACATGCAATACAAAGCATTGTACTCGTAAGTAACATGCAATGCAAAGCATTGTACTCGTAAGTAACATGCAATACAAAGCATTGTACTCATAAGTAACATGCAATGCAAAGCATTGTACTCGTAAGTAACATGCAATACAAAGCCTTGTACTCGTAAGTACCATGCAATACAAAGCATTGTACTCGTAAGTAACATGCAATACGAAGCATTGTACTCGTAAGTAACATGCAACACAAAGCATTGTACTCGTAAGTACCATGCAATACAAAGCATTGTACTCGTAAGTAACATGCAACACAAAGCATTGTACTCGTAAGTACCATGCAATACAAAGCATTGTACTCGTAAGTAACATGCAACACAAAGCATTGTACTCGTAAGTACCATGCAATACAAAGCAATGTACTCGTAAGTAACATGCAATACAAAGCATTGTAATCGTAAGTACCATGCATCAGTTGTCGTATACATGCAACACAAAGCATTGTACTCGTAAGTAACATGCAATACAAAGCATTGTACTCGTAAGTAACATGCAATGCAAAGCATTGTACTCGTAAGTAACATGCAATACAAAGCATTGTACTCATAAGTAACATGCAATACAAAGCATTGTACTCGTAAGTAACATGCAATGCAAAGCATTGTACTCGTAAGTAACATGCAATACAAAGCATTGTACTCGTAAGTACCATGCAATACAAAGCATTGTACTCGTAAGTAACATGCAATACAAAGCATTGTACTCGTAGATTACATGCAATACAAAGCATTGTACTCGTAAGTACCATGCAATACAAAGCATTGTACTCGTAAGTAACATGCAACACAAAGCATTGTACTCGTAAGTACCATGCAATACAAAGCAATGTACTCGTAAGTACCATGCAATACAAAGCATTGTACTCGTAAGTTACATGCAATACAAAGCATTGTACTCGTAAGTTACATGCAATTGAGTCCGGTCCGGTCCGGTCCGTAGTCCGATCAGGTACCTCGCCGCATACGGTCGCCTGCGACCCAACCGTGAAGTGCTGTTAATAGGTTGAGCCCATGCGCTCCCAGTGCGTTTATTCAAGACAAAAGAACGAAGACAAAGATTTTTTACCTGTTCGCGGAAGTAACATGCAATACAAAGCATTGTACTCATAAGTAACATGCAATACAAAGCATTGTACTCGTAAGTAACATGCAATGCAAAGCATTGTACTCGTTTCGTAAGTAACATGCAATACAAAGCATTGTACTCGTAAGTAACATGCAATACAAAGCATTGTACTCGTAATTAACATGCAATACAAAGCATTGTACTCGTAGATAACATGCAATACAAAGCATTGTACTCGTAAGTACCATGCAATACAAAGCATTGTACTCGTAAGTAAACATGCAATACAAAGCATTGTACTCATAAGTAACATGCAATACAAAGCATTGTACTCGTAAGTAACATGCAATGCAAAGCATTGTACTCGTAAGTAACATGCAATACAAAGCATTGTACTCGTAAGTACCATGCAATACAAAGCATTGTACTCGTAAGTAACATGCAATACAAAGCATTGTACTCGTAGATTACATGCAATACAAAGCATTGTACTCGTAAGTACCATGCAATACAAAGCATTGTACTCGTAAGTAACATGCGACACAAAGCATTGTACTCGTAAGTACCATGCAATACAAAGCAATGTACTCGTAAGTACCATGCAATACAAAGCATTGTACTCGTAAGTTACATGCAATACAAAGCATTGTACTCGTAAGTTACTTGAGTCCTGAAGGTGTACTTTAGTAATCGCTATTGGAACTGGTCGCCGAGTACTACTAGGTGTTCCGAGTTTGGGCTCGTTTTGTTAGGTATGATGAGTCCTTACCTCCGGACTTGACGGAGTCCTGAAGGTGTACTTTAGTAATCGCTATTGCAACTGGTCGCCGAGTACTACAAGGTGTGCCGAGTTTGGGCTCGTTTTGTTAGGTATGATGAGTTCTTACCTCCGGACTTAATGGAATGACCTGAAGGTGTACTTTGGTAATCAGGTGCACCGCGTACGCGGCACCAGGTATACGACCAGTTCCAATAGTGTTTGGAGGTGAATGTCTGCTTGCTTTGCGCATACTGTGTTCACGGTACGCTCTCCGACTGCCGGTTTCGCTCCGCCCACTGCAGGACGCGCGGGTGAAAAACGAATTTGAAATCGTGCTAAGACCTCGTCTTAAGTACGCTTATCGGTGCGCCGTGCATGCGTCGGTAACAGCGGTCGGTAATATTCGTGCTAATTTCGGTTACATTCGTTTTCTTGAGGAACCGCCGCGGCCGGCGGCGCGGCGACGACGGCAGCGCGGTAGTGGCTTATCCACGGGTTATATTGTTAGAGCTAGCGAGATAGCAATAGTTCCGAATTCCCGATTGCTCGCGTAGGTAGATACACGAAGCTCCAGAGTCGGTTTCGTGATTTCTCCAGACAGTTTTCGACTCTATACGCGCGGTATAAAAGCCACGCTAACCGCAGCGACCGATAGTTCAGCCAATTTGAGTGAAGCATTGATTTATATATTACACTAGATCAGTAATAACCGCGCCAAAGCGTTGCCAATGCACATATGGCCACATCCATGCCTAGCTGACGTCAGTTCAGTGTTCAATGTGACGCCGACAGAGTTGAGCCGCGACAAAAAATGGGTAAATACGTAGTGTAAGAATGCTATTCAAGGTCACAAAAACGTAATAAATCAAGCGGAATCACTTTCAACACATAATTTTTAGTTCTTGTTTTCATATAAACGTAAAAAACCTCAAATAATTAAACAAAAATATCGAATATTGCCATTTAGGTTCAATGTTACCACTTTTCCGCATTTGTGATTATCCTACATTAATGGGAGACTATATGATTAATGGAGTAAGTTGATTGACTGATTTTAGATATTTTATTTTAGACTGATTTTAAATATTTTGGAAATTATAATAAAAACTACGTTTTAACTTTCATACAAAATTATTATTATTCTTATTTCTTATTTTAGTTTATTCATGAATTATCTATTAAATATATTTTATTACCTATTTTATATTAATAATTTTATATTAATTATAATTTCGTATAAATTTTATATTAATTATATTTTATTACCTATTTTATATTGTTTGATTTATTAGTACAATAAAAATACTTATAAAAATATGTTTTATTTCATCATTATGTTTACTTCTATTCATGCGGGAAATAGGGTAAATGGGGACCTGCAC